TTGTTAAAACCAGGTCAAAATAAATTGCAGATTGACAGTAAGAATAATATTGAAAATTATTATTTAATCAGGGCCTTTCAGTAGGCTAATGAAAGAAAGGACAATGGAATACAAATACAACGTGCAAACTTCAGTCAACTTGTTTTTTCTTAGAAGACCTCTTATTTGCTTTTGAATGGTAAATTCGTCTGGTCATTTACTATTTTGAACACGCCATTAGCTTATTTTATGCCGTTTTGCAGTGCAAATACAAAACATATTTCTTCTTCAAAATACAACCTCTAACTCACAAATAATGCTATTTGAACAACACATTTCTAAAGTATTGTTTTGAATCATAATGATTTCATTTTCTGATCGAGCATTGTGTCTATTTGAAATATAGCAAAAAAAAATTGACCCGCAGCCGAAACCGCGCTTTTGCCTCATGCTATATGACACCGGCATATATCTCATATTCCCAGTAAGGATAAAATCTTAGCATGTTCACCAGAAGCAAACGTTTGCGCTACTTACCGCGTTTCATGATCTAAATGCTCGTACAGAACGAGAAGGGTGTTTTTATACACACGGATATGTGCCGCTGTGAAGTAATGACGTAACAAAACCGAAACTTACTCCCGGAGCGGGAAATCACATGCCGTCTGACTCCTTCATCCGGGGAATACAAGCTGGTCTGAATGGGAGTATTTCTGCTCTAGCAGCACCCTGACAAACTGCTGTTGTGTGGAAATAGAGGTGACTGTCTTTGTCTTCTTGAACATGTTTACCTTGATATAGCTATCCATTTACATTTTTAGAAATAATAAGACATGTCAACTGAGAAATATGTTAGCATTCCTTGTCATCCTAATGGTGACTGTCACACTGTCACAACCCTGTAACGGGCGTTTATTGTGCTAGTGTGAACTGACCTCCTTTCTGATACAGGCAGTCAGCTGATCAGATAAATAATAATCAGACTGTAACAGCTTTCCACTAAGCCGCCGGTATTGGTAATAGGAGTGAACAAGTAGCCTATGTGACGCTTAGAAATCGAGTCCATGCTAAACAAATGGAAGATGCAAACAGTGTCTTTCTTTATCGTGCTCCAATGAATAAAATGAAATGAAGGCGAGAGCAGGCGGCTGCAGTGAGGGGAGGAGTGAAATAAGAGCAGTCAAGACGGACAGTTCTGACCTCTCGAAGTGAACTGATACCAACGAGATCAAAGACAGATATCGTGTGATTCTCACTCATGTGCTGTGCTGCTGATTAACATGATACTATTTCAGTTCTGTTGCCTTTATATAAAAAAGTTAATATGATGAACAAGACACTCAAAGTGCTTGCTTTTTAAATCCATACGAAAGGAGTATTTAGCATTCATTTGTACTCTAATACAAACATGCATTTAAGATTTTTATGGAAATATGACAACAACCACATATCTCCCACAGAGATCGCACTGTCATAGTGTTTGGGAATATTCATGCATAATTTAAATACTTAAATCACGTGAAACCAGATAAAGAAATACAATATTTTAGAAGAGAACGCAGCATCACAGGTTGTCTGAACCAATGAGTATTAAGCTGTGTCACTCGTCAGTCAGTTGTCAATCCGACACAGCAGCCTCGCCGTCGCGAGTTTTTTACTATACCAATACACACCTGTTCAGTGTTGCCAACTGCTTTCAATTGAAAGTAGCTAAAACTGGTAGCTAAATGTCACTAGATGACATCACATGGGGGAAGCCGTGGCCTAATGGTTAGAGAGTCGGACTCATAACCCAAAAGTTGTGGGTTCGAGTCTCTTACCGGCAGGGATTGTAGGTGGGGGGAGTGAATGTACAGCACTCTCTTCCACCTTCAATACCCCGACTGAGGTGCCCTTGAGCAAGGCACCGAACCCCCAACTGCTCCCCGGGCGCCACAGCAACAAACAAAAAAAAGGCTGCCCACTGCTCCAGGTGTGTGTTCACGGTGTGTGTGTGTGTGTGTGTGCACTTTGGTTGGGTTAAATGCAGAGCACTAATTCCGAGTATGGGTCACCATACTTGGCCACATGTCACGTCACTTTCACAATGGCTTTATATAGATTTATATAGAATCTTTATATAGATTCACTTATCTATATAAAGATGAACGTAGATCAGTGGGCAAGATGAGAACTTAGATAAGGTTTGTCCAAGCAGTTGCTATATTTGTCCCTAAACCTTTGAAAAAAGTCTCAAAAGGGGTGGGGAAGTCACTAAATCTAGCTACAAAGTAGCTAAATTGGCAACACTGCACCTGTTGTCTCATTAACCAATTGCCCTTATATACCATGCCAGAGCTCCAACCAATGGACAAATATAAAATTGCATGAAAATAGCTCTAAGTATTGTATTTAGCAGTCATATGTTCCTTTTTGATTGGACTTAATTGAACCAGCAAGTTTTTATGTAGCCAAAACAATAATGACACTCAAGAACATTTGAAAATAAGTTTTCTATAAGCTATTAAATTACATTTTAAACATTTGTTCTAGACTCCTTTTCACACTTATTTAAAAAAAAAACAGCCTACTGTGAAGATTTGTTTTCTTCTTAAACCAACACTCTTAAAAATTAAGGTCATTTATTGGCATCTATAGTTCCTTGTAGAAACTTTAATATCCCTGTAACCTTCAATTTCACAAAAGGTTCTTTATAGAGGAAAATGGTTCCTCAGACTATTAAAATGTTCTTCTAAAATGGCTTATATGAGATCACGGGAAAAACCCCACCTGAAGAGGTTTTTAGCAGCAAAGCCATAGAATAACTGTTTTTGGTTCCCCAAAGAACCTGTTAATGAGTTCTTAAAAAGGCCATTTCTTTCATTGTGTGAAGAACAATTTAATTATCTCAAGAAACATTTTCCACTGTAAAGAACCTTTTGTGCATTGGAAAAATTCCATGGATGTTAAAAGTTCTTAGATGTCAATAAAGACTTATTTTAAAGATTCTATTTGGTTGTACTATACCCTTCTGGTCAACTTCAAAACTCTGTATTGAAACTTATTTTATCCATGATTAATCACGTTTGTGCTATTCATCATTTGTAAGTCAGTGTGGATTATAAAGTGTCTGTAAAGTAATTGTCAATGTAACATGTAAAAGAATGCAAAAATTATAGATTTTAATAAATAATACTTTAGGAATGATGGAAGTTTTTAAATTTGCATTGATTGATCTTACACAAATACATTTATCATACATATATCTTTTTAACATTTTATATCTTTTGAATGTAATCATTAATCAGTAAGTATTCAATGATCAAGGTATTGTGTAGTCTAGAGAGTAAATGTTTTTTTGTGTAACTTTTAAGGGGTCACTCAGCTAGTGTGAATTTGCCAGGTGTGTGCATATGTGTCCGTCTTGACATGTTTTTATGAACGTTAGCAATATGCATCAGATATGACATGGTGTGATGGAGGCGACTCTCCAGGGAGCCTCCTGGTTGGTCGAAGCTGAGGAACCAAGGGATTTCGGTCACCTTGAAATTTATTTTTATAAGCTACTGTGACCCTGTTTGTTCATCTCTTTGCTCACAGACAGCAAGCTGTGTGTAAACCAGATCATTTTCTGCAGAAAATTTAAGCAAGACAAAGACAAAACTCTGTTTGGTTTTTCATTCTCAGGCTTCACAATTATTTTATTACTTTATTAAATCAGAATTCCGGCGACAGAATTCAAATTTCTAGTCACATTATTAGCTACATGAATTTACTACATGGATTCGTTTTAAAGTAGTCACATTTTCGCAATCTATGAAAAACAGTATGAATAATTCAAAAAAAAAAAAAAGCTGTAGAATCATGCATAATTTTAGTTACAAAGTGCCAAATGAAAAATCACAGATTTTTCAATATCTCTAAAGTTTTGGGTGCTTACATTCTTATTTTCAAAATGTTATAAATGGTTTCAAATCAAGCTACACACAATTACTTTAAACACACAGTGGCTGCTGCTAAACTCCTTTCATGGTAGCCGGCTGTGAACAGAAGCTCTTTGGACTCCAGTACATTTCTCATTTCCTCATCCTCTTCAAGAAACCAAATGCTCCACTTACTAGAGCTCCTGCAGCACCGCCCACAGATGCCACGCCAGCTGTTGCTGTTGCAGACATACCAGCAGCACCTGAAAAAATTCAAATTAAAATTAAAAAAAGCTTTATTGTCTATCCCCAATGGGGTAGAAAATTGTCTTTAGACAAAGGCTCAAACAACAACACAAATAATAAATCACAACTAAAGTTAACAATACATACATCACTTCAAAAAACAATAACCTTTAAGATCCTATTTAAAATACCAATGGCAGTTGGGATAAAGGTCTTCTTATACTTGGCATTTTTCACCAAAGGCACTTTATCCTGTCTGCCGGATGGATGTAACTGAAAAGAACTATGCAGGGGATGGGAAGAGTCTCCCACAATAACAGAGACTTTCCTTTTTAATGCCACAGTATCCACTGTATTTCTGATGGGCCTACTGTGTTTTGAATTATGGGTGGCACTTGGGGAACTTTCATTCAAAAAGACTGAAATTAATCATTTCAAATCATAAGGTTCTACAAATAAAGCTTATCCGTCTGTTTGACTGAATGAGCTGTCGATTTTCCTTCATGTTTTATTTTCAGACATCATGAGAACAACGTAACGCTTGGTCTTTTAACGTGACATGTTATAAGAATATCTATGGCAAGAGCTCTTTTCAGTCGCTGCATTCTTTTCCTCATGATCATTTTCTTTTTTTTCCTTTTGCATTCCACTGTAATAGTATGAAAAAGGAAAGGAAAGGAAAACATGTACTGCCCATTTGTGGCCTGTTCTCCAGATTTAATTTACGATATATCCCAATTCACTGGAAGAGACGAAGAATCTCTGGTTTTTCTCCTCACGTCTCTATCCAGGTTTGTTTGTTTTCACAGGTAAATACAATTTATTATCTGCCAAAATGATGAAAATCACTTTGAAATAGTATCACACAATGCTAAGGTTAATTAACATTTTTGATTAAGGCAACATATATTACATAATACAAATATTACAGTGATATTTCACCCGTCCATTACTGTGGAAGGGATCGGGCTTTTGGGGTTATTCATGGTCTGTTGAACATACCTTGTTTATGCTTTTATGTAATTTTAATGTTCGATGGTTGAAGTGTGAGTAGAATAATGTCATCTCATTGTACCCAGTAAAAGGAAAAAAAAAACCTTTTTCCGTTCATAAAGCAAGCCTTTTACTAATTGCTTACAGCTTAACAGAAGTTACACCCATAATTCGTGAAAAAGGGTCATGGGGCATAGGAATAAGGTGGATAGAGATCAGTGAGAGGTACTTGTCAGAACACAAAAAGCCTTATAACAGCAATAACTGAATCAGAATGACACTGAGAACAGGTGCACCCAGCCCAGTGATGTCATACAAGTTCATACGTGCATCTTAGAATAAAAACCGTTCCATTTACATGACTCAGGTACTACTGTTCCATGACAATTCAGTTACACCTGTAGCTTATTAGACTAACTAATTTCAGTACAGGTTTGTTACATTGTTTTGCTCTTAAGGCATTTATACTCTTATTAGAAAATACCTGCAGATTGGAGGAGAGCGACCAAACTTCCCGCAGCCACACCCCCACCGCTGGTGATGGCTGCTGAGGACATCATGCCAGCAGCCGTAGAACCTGCCGTGATACCGGCGGCGGTGAACCCAGCCACGCTGAGCGCAACGGGGGCCAAAAGTACTGCACCAGCTAATCAACAGGAAAAGAAACTGTTCAAAGCATTTCAGTGAAAAATTGTCATTTGTCATTTCAATTACTACATTAACAAGCATTTCTCTGTTAAATGAGTTATTCACCCAAATATGAAAATTTGCTGAAAATGTACTCACCCTTAGGACATCCAAGATATGGATGAGTTTATTTCTTCACCAGAACAGATTTGGAGAAATTTAGCTTTACATGCCTCGCTCACCCATGAATCCTCTGCAGTGAATGGGTGCCGTCAAAATGAGAGTCCAAACAGATGATTACAAAAAAATAAATAAAAATCACAATAATCGACACTACTTCAGTCCATCAGCTAATGTGTGAAGTGAAAAGCTGCATTTTTGCAAGAAACAAACGTAAGAATGTTTGTAAGAAACTTTTAAATGTCTAAAAAAAAAGTCCATAATCCTGCTTTCTCCAGTGAAAAAGTCCAACCCCTGTTGTCCTCTCACATCAAAATCCACCAACAGATTTGTTTCGATCGGTTTTCGCTTGTAAATGGTGCTTGATCTGTGCAGATTTCTCTGCTGATTCAGACTAGGCAATTTTTTCCATTTTTCACTGGATAAGGCAATATTATGAATAGAGGACTGCTAATTTACACGGCAATAACAGATTGAAAAAAAATTCTTTATAATAGAATCGTTTATTACAAACATGCAGCTTGTGGTTTACTTGCATAACAGTTTTATAGTTTATATCAGCTGACTGAACTCATTCTGACGCTCTTCATTTTTTCCCCCTAAAGGTTGATGTCATGCTACATTTCTCCAAATCTGTTCCGATGAAAAAAAAAAAAACTCCTCTACATCTTGGATGGCCTGAGGGCGAGTACATTTTCATTTTTGGGTTAACTATTCTTTTAATCTTGCTCAAACACATTTAAACGGGCCTATATTATTTGCTGGTCTTTGCGTACACTTACCAGCAGTCCCAGCTGTAATCCCAATGAATTGACCTGAAAATTAAAATAAAAAGTATTTAAAAACAAACGACGAAACACAGAGGAGATATATTTGCTTTGTGCCGTTTATGGAAATTGGGTACTCACCCCACGACATGTTCGGTTTACATTAAACTACAGAGCGAGAACAGCCTACTTCCTTCTTCTTCTTCTTCTTTTGTGTTTAATGGCGGTTGGCAAAGCACATCTGAAAGATGTTTTATCATTTCATAACATATTTCGTCTTTTCCTGGCGATGTATGTTTCACCCCGTGTAACACCTGCTTCAGTTCATACATTGTAAAATCTGTATCCAATGTGCATCCAGATAGCACTTTTCGAACCAACACATTAGGATTCTCTTTCAAAATGTGTTCCCTCTGTACTTTCATACTTTCCGAAACATTATTATTACTATGAACCTTAACGAATGCTTCTGCTAATTCCTCTGCCTTTTCTTCATTAGTCATTATATATTTACCCTCTTTTATTAAAACTGGAATGCTTTTATACATCTGTTTCCCACCCATCTTCCTAACCATATTCCACATACTTCCTTCTTCTTCTTCTCTCGAGTTTATGGCGGATTGGCAAACCCAGCCTACTTTCGACAGTATTTTCTTCTTCTTGTACCGTTTAATGGCTGTTGACAAGCCAATTTATGCTGTATTTCCGCCACCAACTGGACTGGAGTGTGAAGCATCAGCCGTTAGGGGAGATGTTTGCTTAACTCCCCCAACAGCTCTTTAATTAATGTAATGTAAATTCCATATCAGGATGGTCATTAGAAGGCCTTTTCTCCATCATAATATTTGAATGATCCTTTTTACTTGGTTTTCTATTTATTTTCATTTCTTCTGTTATGTTATCATTACGGTGTATTCAAACACCTCTGCTATAATTTCTGCCTTTTCTACATTAGTCGCACTATTTCCTCATTACTCAGAATAGTATTGTGAGTCTGATCCTGTCTGATCCTATTGTGTGTGTATATATATATATATATATATATATATATATATATATATATTTATTACATTTTATATTATCATCTCCCACATGGATCTGCATTTTCTATAATGTATTTCTATAATAAAAAATACATATCTGATATGACTTAATACATAATTATCATCAAATAAACAATATAATTCATATTCGCAAGGATTAAAGATTAAACGGAAAAAAAGAAAAATGATTGCACAACCATCAATTAAGTGGCGATATGCACTAAGCATGTAAACGACCATTGAACAAAAGAAGAAGAAAGAAACAGCATGGCATGCTTTTTCTTAGTGTCCGTTTCCATAGTGACTCGTCGATTCATCACTCTGTTGAGAATGTCTTGAGTCTTAACCAGGAACATACTCTGAGTTGAATGAACTTACTCCCGGACGCGTTTCTGGAACCACATACCTCGAGTAAGCAAGGTTTGGGGTTAATCAACCGATAGTTCAGGGTTTAGTTGATGGTAAGTTAACCGTGCTTTCTGGAATACACCCCAGGTCTCTTGTATACATATAACATGAGGTTTATATTCCTTATCTTCTATTACCCTTTTAGACTCTTGCCCATTTGTCATTAAAGTCCTTGCATTCCACTGTAGGCTAATACTAATAATACCATTAAGAGTATTATTAACTACTTGACCCTTAAGTTTTTAATTTCTTGTTCCAGAGTAATTCCTGGTCCCTCTTCCATCTGTTTCACATTTTTAACTGCCATCATATCATAAGCATATGAAATTCCCTCTTGCATCCTAACGTTCTGAATTTTGCACCACGCATCCCCCAAAGCCAGCACTGACCGTGACTGGCCTATCCAGATAAGCGCTGAGAAAAGTAACAAGCTCCACCTGACAACGCCATTTATTTGTTGCTTCAGCAGCAGTTTGGGATAAAAAAATCTACATTTGTGTTTGTGTAAATAAATAATACAAAAACACTTGAACGAGTTGTGTTCAACCAAGTCTCAGCATTTCTCACACAGAACAACCTCCTGGACAGCAACCAATCTGGCTTCAGAAGTAGACATTCGACTGAGACTGCCTTGCTTTCAGCTGTTGAAGCCCTAAGACTGGCAAAAGCGGCTTCCAGATCTTCTATACTTATTTTGCTGGATCTGTCTGCTGCTTTTGATACGGTGAACCACCAGATTCTCCTGTCAACCCTATTGGAAAATGGCATCTCAGGAACCAGTGGTTTGAGTCTTACCTCTCAGATAGGTCCTTCAAGGTATCTTGGAGAGGTGAGACCTGCGCAGATCAATCCTTAACCATCTTCAAGAAAAAGAAACGACTAAAAACACATTTGTTCCACCTTTATTTGACCCTCTAACACTTTCTATTCTATTTTAATTATACTTTATCTATATTTATCTTTTTTTTTATTAAAAAAAACCAACAAACACTAGCTTTCTATTTTTTTCTATTTTATCTACTTGTTTTTCTTTGTGTATGTATATAATATATATATACACAGTATATATATATATACCATGCTACGTGTACTGCGTTAGGCTAACCGAGACTTGTTATTGTTGCTCTTTTGTTAGTTTTGATTGCTTTTATTGTCCTCATTTGTAAGTCGCTTTGGATAAAAGCATCTGCTAAATGACTAAATGTAAATGTAATACGTAAATACATAAGTATGTAGAATGGAAATCACCACGACATTGTGCCGCAGTCTCAAGCACTATGGGTCTGAATAATTAATAATAATTATCCTGTTTTAACTCTTTAGTGTGAATTTAAATGTAGGACTTTTCATATTATATATAAAATGTGTACTTGAGAGAGTTGTACCTTTTTTTTGCATTCCCCCCCATTTATTTTTCTAAAGAAGAACCCGCAACCTTCGGGTTAGAAGTCCTACTCTAACCATTAGGCCATGACTGCCCCATAAAAAATAGCAGAAAGATAAATCATACAGAGGCACTACCGCTGTAATCACTGCAAAGAGTCATTCTTGAGAAGTGGGACAAAACAGGGTGCAAAATTGAAAAAATAAAACCTTGTACTCAGACAAATGAAACTACATTTATGTATCTTATATGTACTGTTAGAAAACACTCTCTGTCTTTCTGTTGAGTCCAGATATGTCTTACCCCTCCTTTTTCTCCCTCTCTCTCATTCTTATATATACAACGCATTCTTTCTGAATCCCTCCTTCTGTATCCATCTCTCTCTCTTGATATTATGTTTTAAATATGTCTTACTTATATGCGAAGTATGCATGCTTAAATGTATACATTAGCTTCTCTTGGTTCAAATGTCCCAAATAAGGACATGAATGTTAGGACTACAAGGGTAAAGGAGTTCGTGATGAAACCATGAGGACAGTTCAGCATTCTTCGCAAAAGTCTATTCCTAATATGTCCATGTTTTTCTGTACATGTGGCTATTTTATATAAACACATGTTCTTGGCCAAAGATCCTACGTGTATGTTATTCATATCCTCATTGGTTAAGAGGATGAAACTCCCCTCGACATATGCCTATATAATATCTGTATTTCTATGAATAAATTGAAGTATTGAGGATACATTTGACTGTGTGTTTTCTTACTTCCCGGCCGTCTACACTTTAAGTAACTGAGAATTCTTCAAGGTGGCAAAGAGAATTTACTGAGGGACCAAATTGTTATTCTTTATTAACATGTACTAAGCTACTGAGCTATGCTTTGATACAACCTCCCAACTATTATCTTTTTTAACAAAATTTACTTTTTTTACCTTGGACTGTGTAATATAATTTCATAAGCATTCAAGCATTCAAGATGTTTTTAACATTTCAAAACACATTCTCGTGTTAGCAGACAGATTACACTTTCACATGTGACCAACAATTCCACAACAAATATAAAATATCATAATATGGAGGTGAACACGGAGGTGACCGAACTTACGGAGTTGACACATCTGATGGTGGTGACGAAAACCTGAATTTGTAATAATTTTAACTATCAAATACGTTGAATCAGTCAATTACTGTATTAAAACAAACAACAAACAGTGAGTATGTTATTGTTTATAAAGCTTTTATTCAAGAGTCACATTTAAGTATTTTGATATATCACTGGAACACAAAATCTTATGGTGGTGACATCTGACGGTGTTGACAAATTTGGCATTTCTTTCACAAAACCAATGGAGTTCATGTAGTAGCCATTTTATTTTTTTCTGTTGATGCTAGATGCTAATGGAACCTGCTTCAGGAGAATACAATT